TCCGGATCATTGGATTGCAAACTTCGTTTATGGAATATCCCTGACAAGAAAGTTGCTTACTGGAATGAACTGGATTCACAGCTTATCACCTCCGTTGGATTTTCACTAGATGGCAGGATTTCTGTGGCTGGGAGTTTTACTGGGCTGTGTCTATTTTACGAAACAGAAGGGTTAAAGTATAATACACAGATACATGTCAAAAGTTCTCGTGGTAGAAACTCCAAGGGAAAGAAGATTACAGGGATTGAGGCAATGCCAGGAACCCTACCTGGGCAAGACAAGGTAGTTTACAACTCTGGAATGTTTCAATCACAAGTTGATCGAAATATACTGATTGAGACTTTTTATCATGTTTATAGATTCTCATAAGCTCCAATGATTCACGTATACGTCTTTATAATATGCGTGACAAATCGTTGGAATGCAAATACAAAGGATTGGAGAACACGTGTAGTCAAATACGTGCAACATTTAGGTACGCCATGCTTGTTCTTCATAAACTGTTTGTGATTTCACCCGTATTTATCTGTCCATCTCTTTAAACATAGTGATGACGGGCGATATATTATTTGCGGGTCAGAAGATCGGAACGTGTGCATATGGAACACTGACCAGTCGGGAATGCATACGTCAAAAAGTAGCGGAGGAGGATTCCTGCTGAAGAAAGATAAAGCGAGCTACGAGTATTTTGAAGGTAATGAGGCTTTTTGTCTCGAGCAAGTAATGCGGTGTTTTTCAATTATATGTACCAAGTGCAGGACTGATTGAAATGACATTTTTTCCTATTTAATAGCTCATTCCAGTATAGTAACCGTAGCCATATTTGCTCCAACTCGAACGAAAAGACTGATAGCACAGTGCGGTGATCCAATCTTTGTCCGAACGCATCAGGACAATACTGAAGAAGACTCCTCAGGATTGCCAACCTATCCGGATGGCAATATCATTGTTTGTGCCGATTACAATGGCAGCATCAAAGTTTTCCGTAACGATTGTGCGTACTATCCCAACCAAGATACGGATAATATTTCAATAAGGAGCAATAGATCTTGGATGAATAATCTTGTCGCATTTGGCACACGCAGACAAAGCGATGCCTCTAGTGTGTTTTCTGCTGGATCGCGAAGTACTCGAGGCGGTTCGGTTAACGATGAGAAGGCTGCAGGGCAGCAGGTCAAATGTTTGTGTGGATCAACGGACTTTAAGGCGTTTCTGGGAGGGAGTCCCACGTTGGTGTGCGTTGGTTGTGGAAAATCCAGTGACGTTCGCGTGTAAATTAAATAACGGATTTTAAAGTCGTTGGGTGTTTGTATTTACATGTATAAATGAAAATGTATTTCTTTTTAATGTATTATTTTTTTTTTACTTAAGTTCGTTTATTATTAATTATCAATAGCGCGAGGTGAACATCAAGTTGGTGTTTTGTTCTTTTTTTCCAAAAGAAAAAAGAAGCGATACACCGGGTCTACATACGAATATATATATAGACATATACACACGCACGCGCACACACACATATATATACATATAAGTATCAGTGTCTAGTCAGTAGTCTGTATAATAGATTTCCTATAGTTATTAATCAAACATTTATTAAAAAGAGTCACCATCATATCTTTATTCGATCTCATACATGATAACATGACACGTAGATAGCGCAACCGCAAACACAGTCTACTATGCACTCCATTCGCTCAATAATGGAGGCTGTTGTAAAGTCTTGCTACTGGAGTTGAAACTGATAACAACGGGAGCATTTCTCAATTTATGACAATGGCCAGAACTTCACAGACGAGAAAGGATGTTGCTTGTTTGGTTAAAGTGAATGCGATTCTGAGAGTTGAACAAATATGTTATCAACATTTTCGACTAGCATCAAGTCCTCGGAAACACATATGGCTATGCCGTGTCGTATCAATCGACTAAATTGTGCAGATTTTAAAAGCTGCTGTAGACATTGAGCTTCAGACATGGATTATTATTAGCATCTTTTGTGAGTTTGATAAACTACAATTGACACACCGAGTAAGACTATGAAGACGACATGTCCGGTCGAGCATGTGATTACGTCGTCAATTTATTTGGAAGGTCTTGCACCGAATATCGCCGTACCAATACGTATTTCCGTAGAACCGGCCTCAAGAGCTTCCTGAAGATCGTCCGACATTCCCATGCTCAACTTTAAATCTATTTCCATTCCATTCTTTTGTTTGACATGCTTTTTAACTTCATCACGACACGTCACAAGAATCTACAGAATGGGGAGAGGGAAAATAATCAAAAACCGAAAAAATCGGGCACACTGCATAGTATCTCGGGATCCAAAGACTTACGCGGAAATACGGATTAGGCCCGTGGCTTGGCTCCCAATCGGCAGCGCCAATCGTCATCAGACCACGTAGCTCTAAGTTATTACAATTGTCTATAATATGTTCGGCCAACGGAACGCACTTTTCGATTTCAACACCATTCTTGCCTACAAAAAGTTTCCGTCTTTGATATCAAAGGCTCATTGATAGATATGAATAATAATATCTTAGACTTTACGAATGTCCCTACTTTCTTCTTTGCTAGTATTGACTTGAATAAACACTTTGAGAGGTGAATCACGAGATTCACACGATTTATTTAAAGCATCTGCCTTCTTGATGCTGTCTATGGTTTCTATTACCCACAAATTGGGTATTCCTAAATAAAGTAACAATAAGCATTGGGTATGTAAACTGGCTTGTCTGTTAACAGAATATGTTACCAACTTGCTAATGTTTTGCATTTATTCGATTGTAGAGACCCAATAAAATGCCATTTGATATCCGATGGAAGCTGTTAGAGTAAATTGGTACAGTGTTCTGTTGAGTTTTACACAACTATTTATTTCATCGAACGCGCAAGTCTATGAATTACTTACTTCTTTGCTCTTTTCGACAAGCTCTTGGACCTGTGCCACAGACAAGTCTTATCAAATACAAATCACGTCTCTGTTCAGATCATAAAACCGCAAGATATCTTTCTTACATAATTTTCTCCGAAATGGCGATGCCCAGCTTTATAAGCAATCAAGACATCTGATGCTGGTTTCTTTTTAGAAACGGCCACCAGTCTAGCCTAATCCACAGAATCAGTTTCGCACATTCGATTAGATTTATTAGTTTTACTAGCCTTCAATTCGCCGAATCAGATTCATAGAAAGGGCTGGAACCTTCTCTCCACCAGCAACCGCTTTCATTTTTTCTCGTATTGACGCTAGGTTTTCCACAATAGTCTGATAGCGCTGTTGGTATTCGGCATCTTCAGTAGAAGTCTCGGGTTGAGTAGATAATGACATTTGGATATGCCGAGTCGCAATTATTAGTGGCTGTTTAGCCGAACTACGACGAGAAACTTGATAAAACGAGGAGAATAGATAACACATCAACAGTGTGAGAAATTAATGTGTGTGACTGATATATATCCCCGAGTATGACAATTGAAGTTAGGGCAAAATTTACGAATATCAAAAAATTAGGGCAAAGAAAATCAAGGGAAGAATTATTATTATAGTGATTTAAACAATACAAATGATGCTTACTAGTCCCATATTTGCTTTGAAGCGAGTAATGATACAATCTTCTTGACATGAATACAATAATAAGATATAGGCTACGCAAAGAGAGCTGGTTTTTTCTAATTTGAGAAATAATGAAAGTTTGTGATAATAGTCAGGTATAATAACAAATACGGTATTGACAGTTATTTAATAATTACGCCCCCAAATGACCATTTTACGTTAAACACAAGTATTTGTTAGAACACGGGGACATTCAATTGAGAGATGTCAAGCAAGTAGCAAAAATAGATAGTATGTGTTTAGTGATCTTTGAGTAAAATTATTAAACTCTTTTTAATATTATATTTGTATGACAACATTTCTTCTGTAATTCTATCTGAAATTTTCGGTACTTTATGGTGCGCTTTCATATCACGGGACACGCTGTGATCCTAAAACACGCTTCACGTCAACTCGTAATTGGACGCAAATTCCAATGTGACGAGATTATCACGTCGAAACCGTATTAAAAATGTATGCTGAACAACAGTCGTAAAAGACAGTCAACTGGTTTGCTGACACATGTTTGTACAATGTGGTTTTTAATATCATAATTATTATTATTCACTCGCTTTAAATTATGAGTATTACAAATAAATAATACTAATTTCCCTATTTGGGCTATTGCTGACCACAATCTCAATAACCATATTAATGTTCGACCTCTTCAATTAAAATTGTGTTATTCCAGTTTATCGCACAAGTTCTATTTGAAGACACACGCCGTTTATCTTTTCTGCTCGCAGTGGAGTCGTACGCAGTCAATAAAATTTTTTGTTGCAAACTTCAGTCTCATCCTAAAATTAC